AAAATTAAGAGAACATAGCTCATTAAAGCTTTTACAACTTCCGGTCCAAATTCTAGCTGAAACATTACAGTGTTTGCATCAAAGTCTTATTTCACGGGTATAACAAGATTATTAAATAAACTAAACAGTTGTGTAAGTAGACAAAGGGGAATAAACTCACCTGTGTGTGTGTTTTATCTGTGTGGTTCTCACAAAGTTCAGTACGAAAGTCAGCTTTTTCTCTGCCCCCTCATTTTCAGCTGCTCTGCGCTGAAGCTCGCTTCTGAATCCAGTTTTATAAAGGGCTGTTCCACCTATTTTACACTGTGGGACCAGCTGTAGTTCAAAATCTACAATAGTCTGATTAAAACTGTATTAAATAATTCTATAATAAAAGCAGAATCAATAAAACACAGCAGTTGATTTTTAAAAGCAGATTAGTATAAAAATGTTAATTTTATATCTAGGAATTTTATTTAGGAAAGATCATTTTAGTGCTTTTTTTTAGCATTTAGAAAACACTGGAACTAGCTTAAATCAAAACCTGCAATACTTACACAAATAAATCTAAACTACTCTTACTAACAGTACACTTAAAACAGTGAAAGAAAGCACAAAAATGGCTTTTTAACTTCCACAAATAAAACAAAGGATTTAAAAAAAACAAGCAAACTGTGTTTTAATGACTTGTTTTTAAAATAGAATAATTTATCCCAAACCTGAGTAGTCTAAATGAGTTAGTTTTAGAACTAAAACTTACAGAAAAAAGGCTCCTCCACACTACTATCAAGTCAAACTGGAAGCGAACTTCAGAGCGATTCTTTTCAGTGCTTTTTGTTTCCCAGCTCAAAGGCTGCACTCCAGGACTTATGTAACAGATCCCACCTCACCAATGATAAACAGTCCTGTGGCTCTTAGTTTATTTTCAGTGCTGTAATATTCCATGGTGCTGATGAAGAGGCAGCCATTACATGCAGCTGTTAAAACTATTAAAAATGGTAAATTTCTGCAAAGAATCAATAAAATATGTCCTGATGCCTGATCTCAGGTAATCCAGGTAAAATCCAGGTAAAAAATCAAAAAGAAAAAAAAATTGTATAGGTCCTCTGGACGGGTTCTTCTTTAATGAAACGTTTCGTC